GCCGGGCCGCGCCGCGCCGCCTGCCGCTGCCTCGCTCCCAGGCTGGGAGCGGCGCCGGCCGCTTTCCCAGGGATGCCGGTCACTCCAGCTCTTCGCGCACAACCCCTTCCAGTTAAAACTTTTAAGCCTTCCATTGTCTCTGTTTATTAGCTCGCAGGGAACGTTACAAAACCTTCGTGCGAGTGCTGGCGTGCGATGTAACCTTTGGCAACACGTTTTCAGGCGGTATTTGCTATCTGCCTTTCGCTGGTGGTTGTGATTTTTGTTTAGGCAAGGAAACGGGGATGGGAAGGAGAAAGATGGAGGAGATCCTGATGTTGGGGCAGTCCTGAAGAATTGTTTCTAGTAGAAAGCGTCTGAGTTGCACTTCGCTGAGGAGTATATCGGCTCCTTGTAATAATCCACACGCATGCAGAGCTACTTTGGTGATTTCCGCTATTGAACTCTTAACGAGCTCTCACCAAGAAGTGGTGTCCTGCTCTATGGAGAAATTTTCTGGCTGGATTGACTTTGTTCTTTCCCCTGGAGGCGGCTTTGGCGCACAGATTGGCTTGCCCAGGGCAAGTATTCATTCACCTTCCTCTTGTGTGGATTCTTACTCGGTGGTGTTATGACTCTGATACCTGGCAACTATTTTCAGTAACAGCTGTTAACTGCATGTAGGTGATAGAAGTTACCTTTCCCTGAAAGGCCATTGGTAAAACTTATTACAGTGTTTATTTTGGAAATGAAGTTGAATTATTCCCCCAGGTAATCTTTATTTTGGAGACATTGAAGAAATTTCTGCAGCCATGCTCCAGAAAGCAGACTGTTTGTGATGCACAGTAAAGCTTTGCATTTGTAATATAAAAATTGACAGTTAGAATATACCATGTAAATACTACCAAATATAGTTTTCAAAGACTTAAGCTTTCCTCATTCTGTTGTTTCTATTCTTCACTTTTGGTCAATCATGTAGGAGATCTGAGACAAATATTAGATTAAAAACCAATTTTTCTAGTCTTGTGGTCCTGAACCACACAAAATGGGCCTGACCAACACTGAAGACTATGAGGGTTGGCTGCTTTTTTTTCTTAGGCTTTTCTTTCTTTCTTTCTTTTTTGGGGGAGGGAGGTGTTTTTTAAGAGCTAGTTTGAGCACAGGTTACTGAACCAGACCCTGATCCATTAGATAACTTTTATTGGCCTGCATTGTGCAGGGAAGCTAGAATCAATGTTCATAAGGGTATATCTTATACCTTAAAAGTGCATTTCCTGTAGCTTCTCATTTCGAAGTTGCTGAAGCTTTTTTAGAAGGAATGTATTGATCAGAAAGCAGTGTTTCCATTTTCATCTTGGGCCAGGTATGATTAAACAGGTAGATTCTTGGGGATTTAGAGGTGAAAGAACGGGGATTCGTTAGTTCAGTCTTCCATCTTGCAATCACCGTGTTACTGTGCTGCTCAGGGCCTCCAAGGGAGGGGTAATATCTCGCTGAGATGCGTGAGCCGGCTGGTGTCAATATTTAAAAGCTATGTGTGTGGTTTGGGGGTAGGTAAGGCCCAGTCCGGCTGATCAGTTCTGGCTGATTAGTTCTCGTCACGAAGACAACAGTAATTCAGTGCTGAGTCCAAGCACATCGCACAGACTGAGGGTAACTTAATGCTAGTGGTTGGATAAGTGCATTGGCTGTCTGAGGGCAAGTCCTAGGGAGTTATTGTGGGGAAACTCTCTCCAGTTGCTGGAAAACCCCACTTCTAATCTTGTAGCAGGAAAAACTGCAGTAATCGATCACCTAAAGCAATTTCTCTCTTCCTCACTATGTACTGCTTCTGATGCATGCAAAGAGTTAACAGGCTCCCCCTCACCCGGGCATTGTCTGTGCAGCTTCACTGAGGAGCTCAAACAGGTTCTAATCATGTGTCCGGAAAGCTGGCAGCCAGCCTAAGCGTGTATGGTGCCTGCTAACTTGAAACAACTGTAGGTTCTTATATGTGAACTGGGTGTGGTGTGGTTCCCAACATCTGGCGGAGTGCAGCCTGAACGGGATGTCACATGCTGGGCCTCTGCAGGAAGGTCTTGGAAGTCGGCAGTCTTGGAGCACGCCTCGTTGGTGTCCCCTGCTCCCCGTCTCTGCAAGGCTGGACCGAACCCAGGGCGCGCGCAGCTCGTCCCTGGGCCCAACAAAAGGGGTCCAGTACAGACCCTTTTAGTGAGTGCATAGCATGTGGCGTTTTCTGAGAGGAATCTGATGAAAAATGGATCCATGGCAGGCATTCTACCAAGTGCCTGAAGAAAGGGGGTGGGGAGTAAAACAGTGCTATAAGCAGTCAAACTGTTCAGAGCTCTGACAGTAATGACAGGAGAATGCTGTTCTCCGGAGTATTGTACTACAAGGTGGGATGAGAGCTGAGATGTCACTGAAATAGTGTTCCTGGTCTGGTTTGATCCAGTGCACCACACAAACACCTAGAATCTAGTTATTTTAGTTTATTCAAGTCTAGACAAACTAAAATATGTACACAACTGGAACCCAGCTACAAAGCTAAAACACCGTTTCCTTTAGCAGTGAGTTAGGTCATATTTCAAAACAATGACTAAGTGCTCTATTTTAACAGATTACTTTTGCAAGTCCAAAATACACAAATGCAATGCATTGGTATCTGATAAGACAGCTGCAGCAAAACTTCATTTTTCTGAAGTTGTGCTGATTCTGCCTGGTTTTGGCAGTAAACTGTATTAATGTCTGAATTTTATTAAAGCTTACAAGTTTCCAGTAGCCTGTTCTTTTATTTGGAAGCAAGACTTTCATCAGCACTCGCATGGATTTTGCTTGGAACCTTATGTTGACAAAAGATGAAACGTGCGCTTACAGGATTCATTCCTCAGTAGGGTGCAGTTCCTGTGGAAGTCTTTAGGAGCTCTGCAAAGCTGAGGAGTGAGAAAACACCTCAAAAAGGTGTTTCTTTGTTGTCATGCTACTGTAAAGAAATATTGGCCCAGATGACTGGGGTTACGTTACTACCTGAAACCAACCTGCAGAATTTCTGGTGTCTCATCTCTGTGGTAAATATCTTGTTTAAAGCTTGCACTTCTGCCTAATATGTTATGTGCTCAGTTAGGTTTTAGGAGTCCTAGATAAAACGTGGTCCCTGAAATTAGTCATAATGAAACAGTACTTTCATTTTCCTGGTATAAACAGTATCATAAGTATATTATGAGAAAACATGATTTTGCTCAACCAAGAATGCTTTCTGCTGGCATTCAAGGCAATATTAAAATGTTTGTGAGAATTTCTCAATAAAGCCAATTTACAATTGTGCCAGTACTCCTAGGAGCCATTGCATACTATACATATGTATATTTTACCTTTTAAATGTAGTAATGGGTTTAGTCAGGTATCTCACATTTTGGCTGTCCCCAGGGGTTAACTCCATGTTCATATAGGTTTTGAGTTGTGCTAGCCAGGATGTGGAGTCAGATTAGCTCATGAAGGCCTTGTATTCAGCACAAGGACAAACCTGCTCACAGCTGGACCGATGAAGGCATCTGACCTGGCTTGTTATTGCAAGTTTTGACCAGGGCATTTGAACAGAGGTCACATCACAACTGCTGTCTTCCTGCTAAAAATAGGCTAGGACGCCTTGTATCCTCTCCTTCTCGCTTCCAGCCAAATGTGTTAGAAATCTTGTGTGTATAGAAATCTGATTTTGATGACTGTAGTGGGGGCTTTGTGTTGCCTTTTATTTATTTATCAAAAGCCTTGGTCTACAGAGGAACATGATTTGTAAACAATGTGGAAAGCTGGAAAGCTGTTGAGAGCGTTCCCCCTTAAAAAGTTTAAAAAAAAAAAATCCAAGATGCAAGGGAAATTATACATATACAATACTACTACTTTTTTTAAAAAAAGAAAGGAACTCAGAATTGTGATTTTTTTTTTCCTGCTCAAATCTATTTAGAGTTCATGGAGAAAATGGCAAATTTTGTGTTAGTCTTAAATCCCAAAGTGATGGACACTTTTTATAATGCTTTATAGCTCTGCAGGTCCCATAGACTGCTAGAGCTCTGAGCCTCATGGGTGCTGCTGGTACTTGGGCAGTGGTTGGTGCATCTAGGTGGGCTTCGCATTGCTCCCTGGCCAGTACAAAAGCTGGGCAGATGTATAAACCTGGGATGCCTGACTCTGCTACGCTTGCTGATTATTCAGCTAGCTTGTGCTCCACTGAATGGTTTGCTCTATTATAATGATCTTGGGTTAAGAAATTGTCCCACTTTCCTTGTGGTTTTACCTCTGCTTTGTATGACTAAAGTAATATAATGTGCCTCTTACCACGGTTTTTCCTGGTACTATGGGAAGCTATCAGAAAGACCA